TGGTGTTGTAGAGGCCAGTCACTGAGTGCACAGTGATCACGTGGAGCAGTGGGCCATGGGTGTCCTGGAATATGAGACCACCTCCCATCCCACACTCACGTCAATACTCCTAGCGCGCCCCTATCCCACTATCCTACCTCACTGTGACCAGCACTCAGGACCATTACCCTACCGTTGGGCAGGCAACTTGGACCGAACAGCAGTGATAGGCACCAGGGCTGATAGGTTGCCCAGCCCTGGTGGAAACGGAATCGGACGAGCCTTGTCCAACGGGAACTTCGGACACCAGGCCCAGACAATCTACTACAGGCCCCAAGAGACTCTGGGCCCTAGGTTCAGACAGGGTAGCACTCACTGAAGCAGTCTTACCGTCCTTCCCCTAGCTTACCCAAGGCCAGAACTCGAACTGGCCTGAGCGACTTATATCCCTACCCTTACCCTAGGGTCTAAGCCTTATATAGCCACCAGACAGTTCTATCCGGATGTCGGTAGGAACCCCTTACCTGAACCTACTGCAGATACTAGACCCCACCCAGTGACTAGACCCCCCGAGTCTGATAGTTGTGTAGTTGGCAAGCTATGTGTATACCCGAAGGCTGTGTATGCTCCGTGAATCTATGTATCGAGATGTGCAGACAGCATCATGTGTGGAAACTTGTGTATGTAGCCCGTAGGCCATGTATAATTCGCAAGCTATGTATATGCCCCAAGGCTGTGTGTGCTCTGTGAATCAATGTATCGAGATGTATAGGGATCATCATTTGTGTATATCGAAGAGAGAACGGGGTAAGCTGGACAGGGAACCCCCCAAGGTCCGAAACAAGTTCGAACCCGTGACCTTGTAATATGTAATTGTATGACTCTACCATGTGAACGACTAGTGGAAATGGCACGAACGTGTGATATGGCAGGCTGAGGAGATCAACAGAACACCCAAGACCAACACCCCCAAGAAACCCATGTGAAACCCAGAACCAGCATACAACACCATGAACAACCCTATGGTGGTGTGCAGGCAGTGTCTGTAATAGTACCATGCGTCAGCCCAAGGGAGTGTATGTCCAGCCGTGCGTCAATCTAATGCCCTGCCGGTGTCCATGCGCAAGGTTGCAATTGAGTTTTGAACCCGCAACCTCATACCACAATGCGCATTTTCAACCGGTGCTCTAACCACTGAGCCACATCGACTGGACATCATCTATTATTTTTAACAAGCACCAAGAAAGCGAAAATTGTCAGTAAAAACAAAAAAAAAGTCAGCAAGGACCTTCTCAGCGATGCCATCCGCGCTACCGTCTTCCCCGAACATAACGCAACCTGGTAATGAACGTATACAAGCTATATTGTCAGTCACGTACAGCCAAAATGAGGGTGCATTGTGTGCAGGGGAAGACAGTAGAACACACCCAACAACACACTAGAACCTGCTCTGTAACAAATAAAAAAATGTGCGTCGGATGCAGCCATATTGCTGGCAGCAAAAAGGTCCTTCATTGTTGGTGATGCCACCCAAAAACACTAGAACAGGAAGACATGCGGGATGGAGCCATATTGCCAGAAGCAAGGATGTTCCCTGCGATGCCGTCTGCACTAGAATGCACCCAACAATGCACTAGAATCTGCACCATAACAAATGACGAACATGGGATCGATGGCACTAGACAACGCGAGAAGCGTAACAAAGGCGCCACAGGACTGGGACTGAGCCTTGGACTGCTCTGATGTGAAGAGAGAACTACAGACTACCGTCTTCACCCGAATAGAACGCCGGGTCATTAGAGCTGTATCTGGGGCATTCTGCTATGGATATACATCAATAATGACTAGGCATTCCATTCCGGTGAAGACAGCAGAGCCCACATTACAACACAGATGCACCCGAGGAGAGGAGGAGAGAGGAACAGATGAACAGAGGCGAAGAGGAGAGGCGGCGACAAGTGGATGAGCGGATGAGAGAAGTACGCAAGGAGAAAAATGAGAATTAACATTGGAGGAAGCCAAAGGGGAAAGAAGGAGCCCCCAAAGGGCATAGTGGTTTCCACAATTTCTTTTCCTGGCTCCTGTGGATTTGGTAAAATGCCCTTGTGGATTTGGTAAACTGCCCTTGTGGATTTGGCAGCCATCGTCAGGTAGCTGAGGTGAAGAGTTCAAACTTCAAACTCTGGAAAAATGCCCTTGTGGATTTGGTAAACTGCCCTTGTGGATTTAGTAAAATGCCCTTGTGGATTTGGTAAAATGCCCTTGTGGATTTGGTAAAATGCCCTTGTGGATTTGTTGAAGGGTGGTTTTTCGCTCTCTTCCTGCAAACTGGGTTGTTCACCTCTCTCGGGAAACGACAGTGGGGCAGGGGGGGGGAAAGGGGGGGAAGAGGAGGGGGAAGGGGGGGAAGGGAGGGAAGAGGGGGGGATGCGGTGGAATGTTGAACATCATCACAAGGAGCAGCAGTGTGGTGGACCAGAAAACAAGTGAAAGGGGGCAGGTAGGGGCCAGTGAGAGGGGGGCACATATTAGGGGTTCAAGTTGTGTGAATGTTTGAAGCTGGGTTCAGGTTCTCGTAAGCGGCGCGGAGGGATCATTTGAGAAACGAAAAAACTGTACCTTTCTTCTTCTTCTTGAGACGTTTCTTTATTTTTTTCTTGGCTTTGCCTAGGAACAACCCGAGCGAGCCGCCCACTCCTGCCCCTCCCAATACAGATGAGAGATGCAATCCTCTTCCAGCCGTCACATCCTCGGTATTAACCCCGACATAGTTCAACTGGACTATCGCTGTCCCAATCACCTCATCATTCCACTGCTTGATGTCCACCTCGGTCTCCGTTTGCTTATTGGCCGCCATTTGCGTTACTGGAACTCTGCGAAGATACACCGTACGCGAAATGCAAATGAAGTTCAGTTCATCGAAGTTATGAAACAAATATGACACAGTGGCAGTTTGCTGAACTTTGCTCTGAAAAAAGGAGAAACTCAGAAAAGTCTGAAAAGGTCATAAAAGTTGATAAAACTGTATAATAGCCAATTTGAAAGAGAGAAGTGAGGGCCTGCAGGCCTAGCTCAGTTGGTAAGGCACAGAAGTTGCATTCAGGAGGTCGTGGGTTCAATCCACATTGGCCTCACGTACGTGCCTGGGCAAGCTTGGTGTTCTACCAGCTAGAGATAGCCCGTTGGCCCCCCAAGCCAGCATTGGCAGGACCTTGGTTGATGTTGTTGGTTGCTATGCAGCGACAATATTGGCCATTAGACACCGCCATGTGGGGTTTGGGGGAGGGTAGGGGGAGGTGCAGTGACTGGCCATTGCTCGGCGCTAGCACCGCCAATTTCCCCCATCGGCAATGCCTGCCCACCCCTCGTCGCCGTGATGAGGGACTGGTACAACCTTGCTCTCGCACCACTGCTGTGGTGCCAACCTGCCCCGTGGGCTGGGGGGAGATCCGGGTTGGTTGGTGTTCCCCCGTACTATACATAGACTAGTGAGGGGATGAGATAGATGAGTACTACCGTCTTCCCCCGAACATAATGCACCCTGAGATTGAACGTACGCAAGCTATATTTCCGGTCCGGTACAGCCAAGATGAGGGTGCGTTGTGTTCGGGGGAAGACGGTAGCAAGAAAAATGAGATAGATGAGAGAAAAATATAGCTTTATAATAATAATAATAATAAAAAGAAAAAGAGAGAACTGCCATAAAACTTGATAACAGTGTCATAAATTCATAATCATAAAACTTGATAAAAGTTAGTTGTCTATTATCTTTGTGTTACATCTCAAGGGACGCTGGACCCATTTTCCAGCAGGTGCAGCTCCCCACCAATAGACTGGAGCCCCCAGTGTGTCAGGTAGGAGTGTATGCTCCTATCATCACTCCTATCGGATACCACGGGTTAAAAAAAAAAAAAAAAAAAAAAAAAAAAAAAAAAAAAAAAAGGGGCAAAGAGAGAACTGCCACTCTGCCAGTGTAGGACTCAGATCTCAGCCTCTGTGTGGCAAGCATCCTAGGGGCTCCTACACGGGCCGTTCAGGCCCCGGTATTTTCCTTCTCAGCCCTCAGGCCGCACAGCCCCTTCGGCTGGGGGCAACTTGGTGGGGCAATAGCCACGTTTTGGGCTTAGGAGCATATGCTTTGTCCCATCCTCTTCCTCTTTCAGCATTTATTCATTCTTTTTGCTGATTGAGTTTGGGGCTGGGTGGGGGAGGAGTTAAAAAAAAAAAAACAAAAAAAAAAAACAAGATTCCTCAGATCCTACGACCATCTTCACCCGAAAATAACGCTTGGGACTCTCGGCGTTGTATACGAATATAACGCAGTACCGGGGCAGAACGCTTTGCACAGACAGACTGAGACAGTTGCAAGAGGAACTTCGACCTTGCCAGACAACCCACATGGGAGTCGGTCACAAGCACAGTCAGTTCTGCGTAGGCAGACGCAGACCTAGTTGAAGCACTAGTGTACGAGCCTTCTTGCACGAGGGACTTCGACCGCTAGAATAGTCCACATGGCATGGCACCACAAGCTACCACAAGCAAATCCTCACCTAGCTACCACAAGCATAGCCAAGTATGTAACATTATCCCTATACTCTTAAAGCGAATAGCGGGTCTCACACAACACGCCCCGCGTGGCACCCGTTTCCATGGTGGGCCCAGTGAGCTGTGGGCCAAGTGCACTTTTCTGGCATTTTTTATTTCGGAGAGGGAGGAGGGGGAGGGGAGGGGGCAGGTCCGCCCAAGTTTCAGGTCGGCTTGCAGCGTTCGTTTCGAGGGTGTGGCTATTCGGTTTTGCTTTGCGGGCGGCAATCTGGCGGCGTTTGCTGGTGGTCGGCATTCGTTTCTGCATTGCATGGGAAGCGCTCTGTGTGAGCGTGCGCTTGGGGGTGGGGGGGGGAGAGAGAGAGAGAGAGAGAGAGAGAGAGAGAGAGAGAGAGAGAGAGAGAGAGAGAGAGAGAGAGAGAGAGAGAGAGAGAGAGAGAGACTCTCTCTCTCATTGACCCAAATAGTAGGTCCCCTCTTGAGAGCAGCGACCCAGCTGAGAGGCACCACTTCCTGCAGTTGAGTTAGTTATGCACCGCAGGCACATGGCCTACACACACACACACACACACACACACATATCGTCAAACAGAAATCCCCTGTAAACTGTAGCCAGAGCGGGAGAAGAGGACAATAAACAAGGGGCTGAGACAGACTGTTTCCTCAACGTTCGACCGACATATATATCATGAAACAGAGCTGCCGGGTAAACCGTAGGCAGAGAGGGAGAAGAGGACAAGAAACGAGGGGCTGTGACAAACTGTTTTGTCGGAGTTACACAGACTCATCAGGAGGCTGAAACCCCAACAGTCTGCAGAATACCCTAACTGATTACACTAAGTGTTGATCCACCTTTGCCCCTCGTTTGTTCTCCTCTTCTCGCTCTCTGCCCACGGTTTACCGGGCAGCTCTAGGGGGAAGAGGACAACAAACGAGGGGCTGTGACAAACTGTTTTGTCAGAGTTTATATATACATCGGCAAACACATAAAGTCCGATGAAACAGTTTGTCACAGCCCCTCGTTTGTTGTCCTCGTCTCCCTCTCGGCCTACGGTTTACCGGGCAGCTTTGTTTGGCTTTCTGGCTGTGACAGACCTTTCTTTGTTGTGTAGGTGGTTTGCTGGCTTGCCAGTGTGATGGGATGTGAACCTGCAGTCTGTAGAGTTTTCCATCTGATGTGGGTGAGTGATGGAGAAGTCTTCAGACTATCACTCACCCACACCAGGCATTCCCCAGAACATAACACACCCCCATGTGACCCTACCGGACCGGAAACCTAGCTTGTATACATTCGACATTTCAGGCCTTTTTCCTGAACTGCATTTTCAAACTCAAACCCTTACTCGCCGTAGCTTTCCCTTTCGCGTATCTTGCCTTGGGTACTGGGCCCTTCAATAAAAGGCTCTTGCTTTCTTTTTTCTTTCTTTCTTTCTTCGTTTTTTTTTCCCCGAAGGTACAAGGTAGTGAATTCGTGAAAAAAAAAAAAGGAAAGAAAACCTAGAGAAGCCATACTCAATCTTCACCAGGGTGTCCTCCATGTTGGTTCTCTCGCTTTGGACAAATATAGACAAATAAGGAACCTCCTCCTCCACCTGGCACCGCAATGTGAACCCTGCAGCACAAGCAAGAATAATAAGAAAAGATAAATTATGATATAAAAATAATAAAATTAATAATAATAATAATAATAATAATAATAATAATAATAATAATAATAAAATAATAATAATAAAATAATAATAATAATAATAATAATAATGCGAGGCCACTGCCTCTAGAGCCCCATAAGCCCCCACTATCACAGCCCGTCGGCCGCCCTAAGTGAAGGCAGGCTCGACGAGGGCCTCAGGGCCCTTTTCTGGCCACTACGCAACTCAGGGAAATTCAGGCAGTTGCGCAGCGCCAGTTGGTCGAGTGAACCCAGGCCCTGGGCCGCCTGTGTGAATGTACGTGAAGCAGGCCCTGGGCTGAATATGGGTACCTGGCCAAACACAGGCCGAAAGCAGTTGGGCACATGCAACCACTTCAGGCCCAAGGCCTGTTTTCCTCGTGACTGGGCCTCAGGCTGCCGGGGCCTACTGGAAGCTTCCTGGACTGGACGCAGGCAGGCCACTTCGATATAGGGAAGGGCCTGCCTCCTCATTCGGCATTCGGGTGCTGGCTGCATGCTACGCAAGCGCTGCTGCTGCGCTATTTGCTGGCTGGCGCCCACGCTCTCACGGGCGAGCAGGGAAGGAGCACGCAGCCATAGCCAAGCTGCGCTGCTGTATGCTGGGTGAAGCGCAGGGTGGTCCTTGGGTGCTAGTGGCATCTCTGAGTTGGGGAACGAGGTTGTGAGGGTAGCGCAAGACATACCTGGTGCTGAAGCGTGCGACATTGGTCGCCATATGCTCGTACTCCGGGAACGCTGTTGATGTCATCATTCTGCTTCGTAGTATAGGCTAGATAGGATCTGCCACATGTAGTCTGGGCGCCGAGCACCAATAGGATATCAACTCTGGTTCTTCGCTGATGATGATGGGACTACTTCAGCATTGTCAATGATGAACTCTTGGTGTGTTCTTATTTGGTGTATCTCGTGATGCAATTCTGCGKTTGGTTCGAGGTCAAGACTATCTGGACTCATATGTATGATGCTGTTTGATTGTTGGAATTCGCTATCACTCATCTTCCTTGCAATTTGGTATCGGAGCTGTGGTACGATTGCGCTCATCTGG